TCTCCTAACACTTGTGGTCGGATCTCTATCAAACTCAGAATCATACGGGTAAATCTGCGCTAACGAACATTCATGTTTTGATCCCGTTGGAGATTTCTAAAACCATTTTCAATTATTTGGCGATGCACTCTTACAAATACTGAGCGAGTTGTATGTCGTCTGTTTGGAAATCTTCGTGCGTATTCTCTGGCTGCTTCTGCTGCGTTTCCATTTACAAAGCCATACACAAAATGAATATCCGCTAACTCTTGATTGGAGAATAAAAATGGCATTTTTATAAAACTTACAAAAAAAACAGGTAAAAGAAACTAAATTTCGTGCATTCACAATTACAAAAAAACGTTTCAGGTTTCAACAGACAACAAAACTAACTGTCTAACTAATTGACGTTTAACCTTATTCTGCTTTCAATTTCAAAAATATTTGCAGGTACAGCCTACTTCTAAATATTATCGAGATTTCTGTGTTATATGCCGCGGTTATAATATGGTTCAAGATGACACACGGGTTGATGACGTCAGTTACAAGAATCGCTTGAACGCGTTGGTTTTAACCACGGTTTTGTTGCAAGTTGTTGATTTCAGAAAAGTGCGTATATAATCTCAAATTATGTTTATTATCACTTAATGATCGGTGCTTTTTTGTCTACAACGGTGTATGGAAAGTTTAAATAAGAAACCTTTAATAATATTCATGGGAGAAATGTTTTTTTTTTCTGAAAAATTATTTTAATGATGGAACCATGGTTTTGTAGCTATGATAACTTTCAATTCTCTAAAGTTTTCCGCATGTCAAAGAAAACATTTATTGATTTAGCAGAAATGATGAAAAAAGATATTAGCAAAACCGTATACAGGTGGACATCATCCAGTGAGGTAAATGGCCATATTTTAATATTCTTGTGGTATATGGCTACACAGGATACTTTGTTAAATATAGGAACTAGATTGAAAGTGTTCCCAACAACAGTAATGAGTATAACTAATAAGGTGCTCCACTTTATGCTAACACTGAAGTCAGCCGGTATCAAGTTTCCCAAAAATGAAGCTGAAGTACAATAACAATATCCAATACGCGGCAAAATTCTAACTTTTCACATTTCAAATAATAACCAGAAATATAAAACTAAACTCTGGGCGCTGAAGAAAGACATTAAACGTAAACAGTGATCAGCACGTGAACAGATCCCTCGAAAGCATCCACGGATATACTCCAGTCACTTTAGGTCTAAACATCCTCGGCAGTGTATTTCTAGTGAATCCACAGACCCTTTTTCGTGTCATCTTGAGACTAGAAAAAGGATGACTGTTAAAATAAGTTACCTTGATCTTTCATGAGCTCCCAGTACAAAACATCATCGATATATTTTTGATGTAGGAACAACAAATTGGTTTAGAAAACATCCACTTTGAACCTAAATTGACTGGAGTAACATCGATCTACAGACAAATTCAAGGTCACTAGCAGTCGTCGGCGCTCTACGAATCTGCACAGGTTTGGACTTGTAAACGTGATTGTAGATGACACGACAGGCATCTAACAGTTAATTCACGCACAGGATTGCATTGCATACGCATTACGCATTCAGTAGCGTATACTCGTTTTTCGCGAGTGGAACGTTTTGTTTACATATTGCCTAAGATACGATGTCTGACACAGATACAGCCGACGAAGTGGTTGACATCAACGCAACCCCACCCAAAAAAAGGGCTAAGAAGCTACATTTAAGTGCAAATGAAAAACAAATAATATTAAATATATACAAAAACCAAATTCAAGAAAAACCCGATTTGGTCGTGGACGAAGTTATATGTAAGGTAGCACATATTTCTGGAGTATGTCGGTCCAGTGTTTATAGGATCATTAAGGAATATAGGAGCACTCACTCACTTTCTGAGCCAAAACCGTATCCTGCAAGAAAAAGGATAACGGACGGAGTAGATGACTTTGACAGAACTGCCATCAGGAGGAAAGTGCATAATTTTTTCTTCCGAAATGAGATACCTTCAGTAGATACGATATTAAGATTAGTTAATGCTGATGAGGATCTTCCATCATTTAAAAGAACCACATTCCGAAAACTTTTGAAGGAACTTAATTTTCGATTCTTGAAACGGGGAAGAAACAGTATGTTAATAGAGAAAGAAGAAATTGTTGTGTGGAGAAGGGAATACCTTAGGAAGATTCGGAAGTTTCGCGATGAAAAAAGAAAAATTTACTATTTGGACGAAACGTGGGTGAATGCTGGACATACTCAAGCGAAAGTTTGGGTCGACAAATCAGTAACATCATCAAGGCAGGCTTTTCTAGACGGTCTTTCGGCTGGATTGAAAAATCCTACAGGTAAGCTCCTTCATCTATCCGGCAATTTAATTTTGATAAATTCGGGCAAATAATATGCTGTGATAGCAGATAATGTGTGATATTCTCCACAAATGGTGCATTCGCAGTGTAGTCATTAGGAAAAAAACTTCGACCCTCTTTTAAGCGTTATTTTGAAATTTATTATCATTTTTGGGTGCAGTCAATTTGCTTTGAATGGGTTTTGAGAAGTTGCAAACTTCAATTTTCTACGTTTTTCAGTTTTTGATCAGCATTCGGTGACTCTTAAATTCAGCTAAATGAACTCAATTGCCTCATTCCTTCAAATTTAATCAATCCATAGTGTAAGGAATAATTTATTTCCAGGAAAAGGCAAACGGCTGATCATTTGTCACGTAGGTAGTGAAGACGGCTTTGTTCCCGAAGCACTGTGGGCCTTTGAATCAAAAAAGACAGGGGACTATCATGAGGAGATGGACGGCAATTCCTTTCAAAAATTGGTTCTCCAAAATGTTACTAAAGCTGGAGAATAACGCTGTTATTGTACTGGATAATGCCCCGTACCATTCTAGAAAAATAGAAAAAAATCCCACAATGGCAACTAAAAAAGCAAACATACAACAATGGCTGGCCTCAAAACAGATCGATTTTGATGAAACAATGGTCAAGGGTGAATTGATAAGTATAGTCAATAGACATAAATACAAATACGATTTTAAAATGATCGACGAAATGGCCAAAAAACAAAATAAAACTCTCTTGAGACTGCCACCCTACCATTGTGAGCTGAACCCTATTGAGCTGATTTGGGCCAACATAAAACAATACGTGGCGTCGAATAATAATACTTATAAATTTTCTGATGTTAAAAATCTCTTTCACATCGCAGTCAATAGAGTTACGGCAGAGGAATGGAAAAATTGTATCCGCCACGTTCGGGAGAAGGTTGAGGTCAAAATGTGGGATTTGGACAATGTCATCGATACCCAAATTGAACCTCTAATAATTCATTTAAACGATTCAGAAGATTCAAGTTCCTCTTCTGAATGAGTGCGCGCAGCTTACTTACTAATAACTAAAAAGTGTAGTTAACTCATTTGTGAATCTCTAACTGAAATTTACTGTAAAAGATAATTATCTTGTATGAAATTTTTGATGACTACCCATAATATCTTGATGCGGTCCTGTAATGTCTCCTGCGCCTAAACACTCACTCACGAGCAATATGCGTGTATTTGTTTGGGTTTAGTTTCTTTCTTCAGCGCCTAGAGTATACTCATGAGTTGGGTAAATACCACAATTTTGCGGTGATAACTGTGACATATAACAGCTGATTCATGACGTCGTGGATCTTATAACCAAACTGATAACCACACTCGCTTGAACGGATCGGTAAATACCAACCCAAAATGGTAAATACCATTTTCATTTGGTTATCCGCTTGAATTTGATTACTGACTTTTTAACGTTATTTTATCATAAATAATCAAAAATGCATCGAACCTTAAAAATCGAAATATCTCAAAAACGGCTAACTATAACGAAAAGTCACAGGAAAGCTTTTTAATGCAGAAAAGTGTGAAGAATCAGTTTTTTTATTCAAAAAGCAAAAAATTGCACTAAGAAAAATTTTTCGGTCATTTTAATACACTACAGGTACAGTAGAGAGCGCCCTCTCTAAGGAGCAACTTGTATAGATCCCTATCAGTGTGTTTCCTTGGAGGAGCTTCCTCATCAGAAGTTTGCTCATTGCCTACATCCAAGACAACAGGTAGATGGTCACTAGAGATATATAAGATTCAAAAAGAGATACTGTATCTAGAGTTTTTAGATATCGCGAAGTCGATGACATCTCGTACCTGAAGATGGTTGAATGGATGGTGGTGTCGGCTCTTCAGTACTATGTATACGGTACCCATTTCGCATCACATGGTTGTAAAATCGAATGCAACCAGACACCTCCCGCCATATTGACCACCACAGAAGCTGCTTCGATGCTATGCATCTCCGCATTAGTGCTTCTATAATAGTCTATACCGCGTTTAATCAACACTGCTAAACCGCCATCTCGACCATTCAATCTGTCACCTCGGATACCATCCCAATTCGGGAGAGCTAAACTATCTCCCGGATTAAGAAACGTTTCCTGTAGCAAGGCCACATCTATACCTTCATCAAAAAGAGCTTGATGAAATTCCCGTTTTTTTGGGAATATCCCTCATGCCTAAATAATTTCAAAAAAGAATTTTGATGAATGCAGGCTGTCTACTATTGTACCGAGAGATTTACAGGAAATATCGCCTGCAACGTTTGGGTAGCGCTAATCAGGCGGCTTATTTTTTGTTGTAAGGACCTTAGCGCGGTTGCCAGGTCCACATTTTGCGTGCTCAAGGGAGGTTGGGCAGAGGGGGCAGGCAAGGCTGCCTCCCTAGCTGCGTCCGCATATGGATAGATTGCGCCTTTGCGCAATGACTTGCAAGTTCCTCTTTGGAGTGAACTTGCAAGTCCGGCTATTTGCGGGATGTCCCTCTCCACATTTCGCGCACTTGCTCTCTTCCTCTTCTATGAGGGGGCACAAATGCGTCATGTGGTCCTTTGCACATTTTAAGCATTTGGGCGGTGCAGTGCAATATGACTGCGCATGCCCGTACTTTGGGCAGCGGTGACACCAATGAGTCTGGAGTTCTTCTGAACCTGAACTCGAATAGCCAGTCCCAGCAGTTAGTGTTCGTTAAATACTTGCTGAGGCTGGTTGGTCTTGGGTAGTATCACTACCACCAAAGGCATGGGCGCGCCGCCGCTGCGCTCCAATCGAATGATGTGGAGAGGGCTATATCCCCTTTGCTCAAGTTCTCCCTTAATCTCAGTATCCGAAAAATTAACGGGAACTCCTCGAACCACCGCATGGATGTTCCGTTCTGAAGCGAGAGGAAAAGTGTGATGGCGCACTTCTTCCTCTCGGAACAGGCGAACGATCTTACGGTAGTCGTCCTCGGATTTAGGAATAATCCTTATTCCCGCATCGACGGCAACCGCGCGATCTATTTTAATACCTAGGGAAATAAACTTGAAATGTAAAGTACGACATCTCGTCACGTCGAGTAAGACGATCGGGGTTATGCGCCATTGTCGTGAGGGTTGTGTTGATGCCACGACGGTTGGACGAGATGACGGAGGAGAAGTAACATCTACTGACGGAGTCACCTGACAGGTAGATAACGTGGTCCCTGATTTGGTAGTAGAGACATTAATGGTGCTTCGATTTGATGAAGTGGGGGAGGTGTGAAATGGGATTGATCCTGTATTCGGAAGAGGAGGAAAGTCTTGGGTAGGTCGATCAGCCTTGTCGCCTTTCCTCCTTCTTGATTTTGCTTTTACAAATCCGTCGGTCTGTACGTCTTCGTCTGTGGATGTGAAATGAGTAACGTTTCACAGTGTTCTTTTTAGGGTGATTGTCCGTTCTTTAGGGGATTCTTTTGAATTTACCAAAATTGTTACATGGACCGTCAGGCTGCCAATTTTGGCTGTCTGGTCCTTGATGGTCTCCATTCGGTCTCGATTCTGCCTCGCCTGGTCGTCTATAATCAGCATCAGTTTTTCGATCGTTTTCTTCTCCGATGACATCTGCGTCAGTGCGCATGTTTTCTGCTTCTGCTTGGTTTCAGCCACCGCACAGCTCTTTCCTCTTAATATGTGCAACTGCGTCGTCTGTTGATCCTCCCGGTTCAACTTCCATCTTTTAACAACTCTTTCTCACCAAGAAATCTCAGAAAACCTATAGCTCGCAAATGTGACAATGTTGTCAAAACCCTTCTTACAGGGCGTTTTTACGTTCTTAGGTATAGCTGTACTCACCGTTCTCAGCGGTTACGTCATCAACGCCATATGAAATAAGTAGACAGATCGAGTCTCCGTACCATGGGCGGATCTTTTCCTAGTATATTATATTACGTATGAAGCGCGTAACAGAGGACCGCTGATTTCATTCTCTTCCTGGAAATACTCTAATAAATTTAACACAAGCTGCCAGCCTTCTCCATTGCTCGTATTTCCGGGCATTGTACAATTTTATATTGAAGACTGTTAACAGGACAACTCAAATTTCACGCCGATGTCAAGTAAATTGTCACTCTGACAAATATGATTGAAATGCACTCATACATAACGACAAAGTTTCCGAGACGGATACTCACAACTAAAAAACGTATGTCTTTGAGCTTACCGAACAAACTTTCTCACACAGGGATAGGTTACATGTGTATGTAAGAGGAAGATGAATATATATAAAGGGATACTGGTAGTCTTACTCTGACCCGCCAAGAACGGTGACTACAACTATACGCAATCTATAAAGTAGTCAGTGACGCGTGGGTGACAGCTAACTGAATAAAGAGCTAGGTCATGACTTGTCTCCGACTATCAGTTTGCTGATTGTCAGCCAAAAGCCATATGTCATTTAACCTTTCCAACTTGTACCTGAGTGTACCAGGTACGTATACCCTATTTACGAGTATCCATCACGGTAGAATGACAGCTGGTTATTTAGTAATACCTCAAAATTCCCCTATCGACACATGACACATAATTCTGACGGATCCGTCAACGTCAGGTAGTTACAGCCGTATTTTGTTTCGGTTTTTTTGTACGTTACAGATTCATTTTATACTTGCTAACAACTATTTTATTCAGAAAAGTGAATTTGCATTCAAAATACAAAACGCCACAATCAAGTCTTACTAGATTTATACCCGATTCATTATTGCCAACGTTGCAGACTAACACAAAAATGTTACTTGCTGATCAGCTGTTCACCTCAGTAGACGTCAAAGAGTGATTGATACTCGGTAAATAGGGTTTAACGACAAATTTCGCAAAGACAGCTTCTGCACTTGTGGTCTTACTGTAATATAGTACCAGATTCATTTTTTGTCCGCGAGTGTGTGTGAAACTCATTGTGAAAATCTGTGACCTCCACTTACGGTTGCGCTTAGGACCGTATTGTCAGTAGTTTCTACAATTGAAGGACGCCTTTATGACCTCCTTGATTTTCATAGTCGTTTCTCTCCTTCAGAAAGGCTGGGATATTTCTAGATTTCTATTGTTCCGTGTCAGTGCCCTCCTATTGTCAGGCTACGTTTTCTTCTTGAATTGTAGGAAATTTCAGGCTATATAACACATGATATAAATCAAAAGCATGAACAATTTTATTCAAATAGATATTTGTAACAACCTAAAAATAGAGTGCTGACACGGAATAGTAGAAAACCATGAATATCAAAGAGAACATAAATGCGTCCTACAATTGTAGGAACGACTGACGATACGGGGACGAACTGGTTCAATCGAACGATTCTTATAGTTGAACTAAGTGAACTAGTTCATCATTCCTTGAAAAACTGGTTCACTACGAAAGACTGGTAATACCAGAATCCCGAAGATCCAATTGAATTAGTTGTAAGTGACGGAACGAGAACGAGAAAGGAGGCGGAACATAACAGTGAGCAGAAGAGGTTGTGTAACTGGTTGCCTGGAAGTTATGAAAAAGATGATAAATGGTATTAAATATAGAGGCTGAAAAAATTAAATACTTTGATAAAAAAATATCACCTATTGCGGCTCATGAAGAAATTAAAACAATATTAAAGTGAAAATGTAAATTAACTACAAATGTCCAATTAAAAACATGATTTTTTCAACTTTATCGACTTCTAGTCTATCTCTGCTGACAAAACTGTTTGTTCGGCCTTCGAAAAAAGCTTCTCGCATGGCAGAGGTGGCAGACGCAAAAGTTTTTTAACCATCTCAACTATAGTAACAATCTGAGTCCACTTTTTCCTTGGCTATATCTGGAGTTGAGGGGGGCATCCACCAAGGTTCATCGCCAGGTGTGAAGAAAACATGTGATTTTTATTGTTCCTATGAAGAAACTTGCAATGTGCACATCACAGATTTCCCCGTACAGTTGCTCTCAACAAGAAAAATACAAATAAGGGTGTTCATTAAATACACGAACACAAAGAATACGAGGCAACCATGTTTTTTTAAACGAAAGAATCAAGTCAACTTTTAGGATATCTTAAAAACAACTTTTCCATGACCTCACAAGTTATTTGTTGGTAAAGTTTGGGAATTCAAACATCAACTTCCATTTTTTGACAGTAGATGCATGTCGGGCATGTAATTTCACATCAGAATTCATTTGCATACATGAGGTACATTGAAAATAGCTCTACAAGCCGTTTCAAAGGCGTGCTCGAAGTATACATAGAGTCAATCTACCTTTTTAATTTTTTTAAAACTATGTTGGTGACACGCAGTATGGTTACTAAAATTTGAACTCATTGAATCAGTGCCACTGGCTGAACCATGAAGACTAGACATAGGAGGTTAAATTCTTTGAGTGAGGGTGAAGTCCAATCACTGTGTAGCGTTAGTACTTATGTGTGAAAAATAGCAAAACATGTTAAGACACGTGGTATTATAAAATCTTCCACATAATAGAAATCGCACTATAAAATTACAGCAGCCTCAGATATATGCGAAGAGCTGACAACGTTGCGTGAGGCTTCATGCGCAGTTTGGCAGCCATGTGGCATCAAAAAAAAAGTAGAGGCTTGACATTGACACAAGTCAAATGTGTTGCCCTATGAGAGCATGGGACCGTAGCTTCTTCGGTGCATATGTTTTGTGTCTGCAACCAGTAATACATGGGGTAATAATATTTGTACACGTAAGACCTAGGGACTTTGGCTCTGGATTTTGCTATTTGGTTATATTTCATTATTATTCATTTTAAAGCGTAAAAAATAGGAATTCTACCTGGATCTACAATTGTACAGTGCAGTGTCCAAACAAAAACTGTAGTGTTTTAGCGAGAATATGGCAAAAACGTACGATTATCTATTCAAATTGTTACTCATCGGTGATTCAGGCGTAGGAAAAACGTGTGTGTTATTTCGTTTTTCGGAAGATGCATTCAATACGACTTTCATATCGACGATAGGTGAGTCAAAAAATGAATTTAGTTTCTAGCAATACACTGGACCAGTAGACCTTCAATATGATGTAAAGACGAATTCCACCTAAACAAAGAACAAGGCTTACTTCCGATGTGCATTTTAACTGTTACCACACCTATTTAAACGTCTCCAAATTATTTTGATACCGTAATGAGTTACTTCGTTTTGAATAGAATTCCATGTAATTAAGAAACTGGTGTCTTTGTGGAATGTGATGACTAATAAATCTACTTTTTTATTAACCTTGTAAACAATCGTTATTTTGTTTGATTACAAAATCCAAATACCTATTTATACTACAGGGTTGTTCATCAAATTCTGTTATTTCAGGCATTGATTTTAAAATAAGAACAATAGATTTGGATGGAAAGAAAATCAAGCTACAAATATGGTAATATTTTTCTCTCGGTATTCCGGGTTCCAGAATAACATGTCTTTTGTTACATATAGAACTCAAAAAATGAAGAATGCCACAAGTTCCTATAAACAAAATGTCCTATCGGTCACATCTACAGAGATACAAGACCCTAAGGAATGGTCTGACTACTGGAAATCAGTTTTTCTCAAATAACTTTCAATGACACTGTTGTAATTCAATGATACTTTGACAACTCAATAACCATTTGGAACTTTTTTTTATGGTGTCAGTAAAAAACAACTCACTCATTAGATCACCAGGGTCAGATGAGCCCTAATGCTACATTGCTGACATTTGTAATACCTTATATAATAATGGTCTAAAAATAATATTTTTGCAAAACCTAATAACTAAACATTTTTCTATAACTCTTCTTTATCACAATCTGTCTTCAAAGAGTATTCAATTATGTTATAATGAGGACATGAAAGAATGTATCCAATGATATATATTTGTAAAATTAACTATGATAGAGTTGTGCTTCAAATCGAATGTCAAGGAACATCCTAAACTAATCTATAGTCCTGGGGAATTTTTCTATTAAGCCTTATTGTTTTCCTTTTCTTTGCTAAAAAAATTTCAAACTTGTTTTATGTTAAAGTGAGCCATTTTTCAGAAAAATAGTCTTATTATTACATTACAGGTACTTTCCAAAGGTAGCTGAAAATTTATATCCTAGGGTTATTTGAGTTACTAATTATTAACTTGTTATCAAAATTACTATATTCACAAAATATCATAACCAGTATATTGTATCCTGTGCCAGCATTAATTGAACTGTAGTGACAAGTGTTCTATCAATGTCAAACAAAAGTACTTTTTTAGTTTAAAGATAAAGGGTTAAGTGGAAGAACAGATGTGTGTCACATCAGTGGGGGACATGTGAACTTTGCCATTCGCCAAACCCTTTTTTTTTATACAAATTGATGTATGTTTATTGGTTGATGTTTGGCGAATAAAGATGTTTATTATTATTATTAAGCTTTCCAGTAAAGCTAGTTTTTATGCCATTACAATATTTGTGGCATTTTTTTTTGTTCTATATGTTGTCTATATGAGAGATTGATATGTTATTCTGACACAATGTATATTTATGATATTAATGCGTTTCTTTCCATAAAAGGGACACAGCAGGTCAAGAAAGATTCAGGACAATTACAACTGCTTATTACAGAGGGGCAATGGGGATTATGCTAGTTTATGACATAACCAATGAGAAAAGCTTTGAAAATATCAAAAACTGGATTAGGAATATTGAAGAAAATGCATCAGCAGATGTTGAAAAAATGTTATTAGGTAATAATACTATTTAAATACCATAAAACCCCCAAAACCCAAGATAAAGTGGAAGTAAAGTCAGTCATGCATTAGCACATGATATTTGAAAGCTAAAACATTATGGCACTTTCACATGGGCTATATTTTTACTGTGTAAGTGAAAAATCTGATAATCTCTACCTGCCATCTTCATCCTAAATGATGATGGAGGACCAGGGTTGTCAGATGCCAACATCTTTTGTAATGCCAGAGATGTCAAATTGCTCATCCATTCAGCACATAATCTTGTTGTTTGGTATCTTTGGTTTTCAAATTTTAAATTGGTTAAGTGGTTTGTACAATTTATATAAATACATAGTGTTTGGAAAATTTTTAACTTCTGTTTGATATTTGTGAAACCAACATCATTATTTTACAACCAATGTCAACTTGAGAGGCATTCACGTGTTAGATACAAAACCACATTATTGGTAAGGGGCACATCCTGGAGATGCAGCTGCTCAAATAAAATATATTGGACAGGAAGGAGTTGATTTAAATTTTGTATTTTCAGCTGCTCACATAATGACAATTTATAATTCTTTTCTGAAAATTTCTGTAATTCTAGCTGTAATGAGTATCATAAACAACAAAATTCGCGTATAGCACCTGAAAATCCATCTAAAATGCTTGCAGAGGGCAACCTGATCTTTTTTAAATATAGAGGATGATAAAATATGTTGTTGCCTTGAAAAAAGTATCTCCTGAAATATGTAGATATTTTCAAAAATAATATTCAACGTATATGAGGAGTAAATTCCTCTGTTCATTTTTATGTTTCATTTTATTATATTACATTTTTATTGAAATTAGGTAATAAATGTGAGCTGGAGGATAAAAGGCAAGTATCAAAAGAAAGAGGTGAACAACTTGCCATAGAATATGGAATAAAATTCATCGAAACAAGTGCCAAAAATAGCATCAGGGTGGAAGATGCATTTTTCACATTAGCTAGGGATATTAAAGCAAAAATGGAAAAGAAATTGGTAAGTGCAAACCTCTACAAAAAATGCTGTCCAAAAGTTGTATTCAACAATTTCTCCTTTTTACATACCATAACCAGATAGATAATGCCTGATTTAGTAGGACAAGCATTTAGTCTTGTTATACTAAGATGGCGACTTTTTTATAACCATTTAAAAAATACCTCATTTATGGTTCTATCAACCCAATAATTTTGTTGACTGTTGCACATCACAGACCAATTCACAGATACAGTTATAATCAATACTCATTTGCAGTCCAAGTATATACATATGTTGCAGCTAAGGTGTAACCACTGGCAGTTGGTTAGTCTTAGGTGTAACCTATACATTTATGGCCAAACCTAGTATTAGCCAGCTGCATTTGGTTAAAACTAGGTCCAAACAACTTGTTCCCAGCTACACCTAAGTCTAGCCAGTCCTTAGTGGTTGAAACTAGATGTAAACGTCACAAGCATGCTTAGACGGGTATTTTTAAATAAAATATGTCATTTTCATATTATTTATTTCAGCAATAAATTTCTTAAACATAACTTAGTCATACCTTAGCATTGTCATATGTTTTAATGGTGGTCCTTGAATGTACTGAGGATGGTTTATATAAGTTGGGCAACCAGTTTGGCACAGTACCCGATTTTTTTAGCCAATGCCCAATCTTCATCTGGTGGACAAGGCTATAAAAGATGGCATTGTAAAATCAAATGTGAAAGTAGAAAGTGTCTTTGTAAAGCTGCTGGTATTTTGTGTAACTCTTAATGTCATTCAAGTTTAAGTTGCTCAAATAAGTAGATAACCCATTGTCCTAACTTTTTTCATATGATTGGGTATGTTAACTGTCTACTTTTTAAAACTTATTTGGTCTAATGAATGTTATAATAAAATTATACAAATGTGTTAATTAAATTGTAATACTCGCACGAAATGTTTAAAAATTGTAAAGTTCAGTTACACTTACCACAAAAAATGATTGTTGAACTGTTACACAGTTGTACCGGCATTAGATATTCGAAAATTGTAAAGTTCATTTACAGTTACGTCAAAAAATTATGTTTAACCTGTTATAGCTTCATCCAAAATTTTGATATTCTAATGTTCAGTTACTTGACTGTAATGACAATGCCAAGGTAACGCTAAGTTATATTCAAGAAATTTATTGCTGAAATAAATAATATGAAAATGATTACATATTATTTTCTTTAAAAATAACTGTCTAAACCTGCTTGTAACGTTTACATCTAGTTTTAACCACTAAGGATTTACTAGACCTAGGTGTAGCTGGGATCAAGTTGGCTGTACCTGGTTTTAACCGAATGCAACTGGCTGATACTAGGTTTGGCCATAAATGTATAGGTTACACCTAAGACTAACCAACTGCCAGTGGCAGTTCTAACCAGCTAAACCTAGTTGTCACTGCATTTCGGGTTTTAGCCGTCAAATACGTAATGATCATTAACTACATCCATTCAACCATTTTTTGTATTCTCTAACAATCTGTTTTATATGGTTTCGTTCGCCAAATTGTAGAACTATGCTGATTACTGTTTAATTTCTATGAAGATATTTCCATATGTCTCTATAATAATATGCAACATATCTGATTTAGAATTTCAGACTTGCCATTGTATTTATCATATCGAAAATTCAATGGATGGATGAAGTTGGTGAATCTTCAGAACAATTACATGTAACAATTGTTGACACTAATATGAAGATTCATAAATTAAATAAAAACTCGGTCCACTGAATCTGGCGGTAGATTTAGAATTCCAATTCAGTCCACCCAATTCCAGTTTAGATTCTAATTGGTATATAGTGTGTCCCAGTATTCATTGGATATAGAAGTACCACTTATTTTTAGACTCAAAATTAGTCGATTCAACATAATTTACCTCTATGCAAAAGTAATTCGTTTGTCCGTTAGAGGGCCTCAAAGTTTTCATTTTAAAACATATTTTTCAGATATTTCTGAAACCGATAATCCGATTTGACTATTACAAAAACCTGAAAGGGTTCGTGAAGGGTGAAAACTACCTCCAATCCCTACATAAATTATAGCAGATTTATTTCGCAACTCTCCGAACGACTCTGATTGTAGTTTAACTTTTTGTCTCTTATAAAAGCAGGCCATCTCGCGTAGTTTTCGAGAAAACAAGTGTTTTTCGTAGCTGGTTTCTAAAAAAGGCTCACATCTCAATGATATTATTTTAAAAAACAAAAATTCTCGTGTGTCTACTTTATTAAAAATATATATTATCTTCCCTACGCTTTGTAGTTTTTTCTATGATTTTTTAAAATCAGCTCACTTAATGACCCACCTTGGTATCATTTTTGTTTAGTTTCACTAACAACATAAAGAACCAATAAGATGCTTGGGAACATCTTCATGCAGCTCATTTTTTTTTCTCGAAGACTATCGCAAATCGTAAATTGCTATAATTTATGTTTTCACCCTTCTGGAACCCTTTCCAGTTTTTCCTAAAAGTCAAATATTAGAACGTTTAGTGAAACACACGTGTTTCAAATCTAGTTCAAATCGGACTTTCGGTTCTTCACATGATTTGAAAAATGTGTTTTAAAATAATTTGACGCCCTTCCGCGGACAAACACTTTTGCATAGATGATAAATCATGCATCGGCGTATTATGAGTCTTAAAATATGTGGTACTTCTATGTCCACGGAATTATGGGACACCCTGTACTTTGAGGCTCGTCCATGGGGATACGATTAACCAGTGGAAGCCTCAAGTGTCAAATTGAAAATAGTTGTTTAACCAGGGATAAGATTTTTTTTTGAGGCATCAGTTTGATACTACAATAATTTCGATATTCTAAAATCCGCCTTCTATTTGAGTTAGAAAGTATGTCTCGAACAAAAAAAAAACAGACTTATAGTCTAACTTACTTTTAATAATTACAAAATTTCAACCAAATCCAGAATGTCATAACTTCTTAATCTCAACACTATTCTGACAATTTAGTTGATTTCAACTGTATTGCAATTGAAATTATTATATAGCATATTCTAAAATTAGAGAAATAGTCTTCTTTTTCATACGCCTCATTCAAAAAACAAAATGACGTGAATAGATTTCTGTAAAAAAATTCTAAAAAAATTTAATTTGGACAGAAGATAAAAAAGTTATAGAAGGAAAAACGGAATTGCTGATAAGTTTGACTTTAAAAAGTTAAACGACTGTACAGGGTGGCCAACTAAGAATGCGAGGTACTGTATCTGTAACCATCGTAGAGGCAAAACAGTTATTACTAAAACGGCCAAGAGAAAAACCTGGAAAACATTTTCAAGTTTCTGAAATGGCTGCTAGGGGCGTAAATGTTATTTTGAATCTAAAAAAGTGATGTTTCTGTGAATTCCGCTATACTAACCTAACCTAAATACCTGATCTTTAAAGTCGAGGATAATGTGAATTTTTTTTGTTTGATCAATTTTGCTTTATCTCTAGTGGTGTGGGGTATTCTAAGGTTTCCATAAAAAAACGCCATGTATCTTCGATACGGCTGAGCCGATTTTAACAAACTTGGGCTAGTGGAATTTTCTCAAAAAATTGAATGCATCGGTATGTTTTTTTTATGAAAAAGTAGCTAAATGATGTCTAAACAAGCTCGCGAAAACCACATCTCAATATCTTGTTCCTAACCTAAAGTATAGGCCAAAGCAAATTTTCTAAGGAGAAATCCCTTATATTTTTATTTTTTTAGAATTTCTCTGGAGTTCTTTATATTCATCAAAATAAAATCACCCTTGTTGAAATTATTACAAAATATCGGTAAAAGGTAAGTAATATTAATACAAAAGGCATATTTTTTTGTTTAAATGCGTATTTGCAATGGATATATAGGGTGTTCAAAAAATAGACGTGATTCCTTGTTAAAAAATATGAAAAAAGTTTCTATAAACATGAGTTCTGAAATGATGAATTTAAAAAAATATTTTTTTATTAATATTTTGAAAAATACTCACGCAATTCTGTTGAAATTTGGAACTATTATATTTATATTAAGAGGCTAATTTAGCCTGGAATAGATTAAAATTATTAGGTCCGGTGGCGTCCCGGGGAGCACCGTAGTGAATATTATTGGCAAAAAATGTACGCCACTGCATTTTTTATATCTTTAATATTTGTTGTTTGATTAAGGATGTAAAAATACAACTTCTTTGCCTCTTGTATTTTTTTCGTATCACCTCGTTTTCGAGGGAAAAAACATTTTATTGCATGTCACTGGACAAAATTGGTGTATTGTTTTGGTAAAAAGATCACAAGTACCTTGGAAAACAAAAAATCATTTCTGCATATAGGTTTGACATTTCAATTTCAACAGAATCGAATAAATATTTTTTAAGATAGGATTTTTATCACCCTGTAACTTGAAAACTCTGCATTTCCGGACCCATGTTTATAGAATATTTCTTAACAGGGAATCACCCTCTAAAATATCTTCGTCTATGTATACCAAAATGACAATAGAAGCAGGCCATGGAATACAGCAAATATATATATATATATATATATATATATATATATATATATATATATACATATATATATACGTAGGTTGAGTCTGAAACACGATGTCCTTCCATCCCCAGAAATAAAGATCAAGATAAGTTAAATCTGGTGATCGCAAAGGCCATGGAAACGGAACTTACTCATCCAATCCAAATAGATACAGTACCTCGCATTCTTAGTTGGCCACCCTGTACATATCGACATTAGTAAAAATACAAAATGTAAAAAAGGTGTGGTTCTTGATGATGGAAGGCACTGCGTTCTGATTGAATGGCTAAACGACCCCACAGAGTGTCTCATACAAAGGTTATTTATTCAAAATAGTAAGATATTTTTATAGGAATATTCTGGTCCAGCTCAATCAAGTTTTAATTACAAAATGCTATCATAGACGATATGAGCCATAAAAAATTTAGTTTCTATTCAACTCAAGTTTTTGTTTATATTTATTTATAGCCAAGTGTATTTGGCAAACAC